AAATAAATTCATCTTGAAATGCACTGATTATATTTACGAAATAAAATGAGATGGCTAGTTGCTATATATTTTTTGACTAAATTAGGTAAAGATAATTCCACAACTGTTGTTCATTTTATCACAATAAATCATTTTTCTATGAACAGTGCGGAGTTTAAAACTTAGCCTGTGGTTGGGCTAGTTATAACGTCTACCAAATCATGTAGTAACGACAAAAAAAACGGCAATAATACCTCTGATAATTCATTCTTAACATATTTTTTAAAACATTAACTCGTCTTTAAGTAATTCTTTTCTAATTAAGTAATACGGATAAAATAATAATGTCTCTTATGATATACATTTTATTATACATCAACATAATCTGCAATTTACATAAATCAAAACATAAATAAAAGATATAGTGTCTCTTGTAACACATTTTACATGTGCCGACATCATACACACTCTTTATTACATCCAATTTTCTTCATTTGTACATGTATATAATTTTTGTATGGGACAACTAGCCCCAAGGTTTTGTTTCAACTAACCTCAGGTGTGATTTTTTCACATTCATTAAAATAACAATTCATACAATATAGCTATCACAAAGATGATTACACATTATCAATGATTGATAAATTGGAAACGAAATACGATATATAAAATTTAAAATTAGTCGACAATAAAGTTATAATCAATATTTTCTAATGAATATATTTTATATTACCCATCAAAAATGACGCACCCAAAATTTAAAAGCCATTCGATGTTTATCAGTTACTTTGGATGAATGCACGGGATATTAGAATTTATTTTAGAAGTATGGATTCTTCAGCAAAGTATCTTATTTTGATCTCTAGAATCCGAAAATCAGATGTGCATGTGACCATTAAATCGACCTGCATTAAGCCAGCCACAGATGGTACAGTATGATTGCGGTTTTCAAAAAGCAATATTTGTTCCGGATTTACATCATTTGTCAAAGGTCCGGATAGTTCAAATTATTAAGCAAATTATCAAAATAAAAATTATGAAAACAAACAAGCAAATGCAATTTTTTTCCATATCAGTTATGAAGAAAATTAAAAAGAATTTTATACAAGGCCATAAGCAAAAAAAATCTATAGATCAAAACCTATAATATATGATATAATATCATAAATAAAATGGTATCGCATATAATTATATGTGTGTATTAAGTCTTTCTTACGATTAAATCAGATTGTTAGGTTATAATATAACTTATATAGCTGTGGACTGTATGAAACACTGAGTCGTTGGTATAATTTATGTATTTGCTGCAAGTTCTTATAACCAGTGCTGGATTTACAGTAGGGGCAGTCGGGGCTACTGCCCAGGGCGGCAGATTTTCAGGGGCGGCAAAATTTGGATAGTGAGAAAAAAATGCTATACAATGTAATTAACTATTTTTTTTAATAACATTTTTTTTTTATTTGGCCTCGCTTACTCTGAGCATTTAGCCACCTACAACATTTTTATTTATTTGCATTCTAATTTTTATATCAATTTCAATCTATTTATGTACCCTATTCTATATTCTTCTTAATTTTTCTTCTTATTTTCTTCAATTCTTCATTCTTCTTTCAAGCTCCAATACTTCTCTTCTTACTCCTAATTCAATTCAACTATTCGAATTCTGTTATTCCTAATTTTCTCCTATTTAACAAATATGTACAATTTTATTTGATTTCAAATTAACTACACATATTTTTTATGATAAATTCTAAGTCATTGATCGTGTGTATCGAACACGCTACCAATGAGCTATGCTCGCCGCATTTTTTATTTCAAGAACTATAATTAACAAAACATAATACGATTGCAATGCGAAATTTGGGTCCAAATAACCGATTATTAAAATTTATTATTTTGCTTGTCTCCCTCTCCGAACGTAAATTATCAAATAATAGTTAATAATTTGGCAATTTGGCAATTTGGCTAAAATAAAGTGTCGTATATGAGCTGAGAGTTTAAGAAAAATATGTTCTTCAGATCTCGAGCCCTCTTAAGACGACAAATTTGTGCACTTACAAGCTTTTTGACCGCGCCAAAAAAAAAAATTAATAGTGACTAGTGGCGTTGTTCCTTAAGGCAAATTACTGGAACTTCTCGTACTGAAAATTACATTTTATAAAGAGCTTTAAAATTTTTGGAAAAATGAAAAAAATGAAAATTATGAACTTTTTTCAAAGCAATCGCACTGCGTAGCTGTTTCAGAGAGGAAATATCAAACCTCAATTACAATTTTTCGAAACGGCTGGACATGCCTGTGCCAGAAACTAATCAGTTTTTTTAATCGAAGATTTAAGTTTCTGAGATTGTTACAAACTTCTTAATTATTTTGGTAACCTGTATTAGGCTAAAATGCCAAAAACGGTGATTCAGTTTTAGAGAAACGGAGCATCCAATATCAGAAAATGAAGAACTGTTTAAATTTGTGGGAAGCAGGTCTATGGGTTTCGGAGATCCAATAAAAAAAAATTGAAAAAGAAACATTTGGCGGTCAAAAGTGATCATTAGACATATGCACATCAAATTATCAGATATTTTATAGATATTTTAATAATAAAGTATGAATTTTGTTTACATTTCTATGGGTTCTGTTACACTGCGACGCGACGCCTACGTGCATCTATATTTTGTCTCTACGCTGCTGAAGCAGCGCAATTGCTTTAATATAAGTTCAAAATTTCAAAATATAAAAAAACTCAAAATTTTCAAAAAAAAAAAAAATTTTTTTATTTTTTATTTTTGGTACGGGAACAATATATAAAGACAATTTAAGTAAAATTTCATGGATGGGGCGGCATATTTGTCATTGCCCCAGGGCGCCAAATTTCTAAATCCGGCCCTGCTTATAACACTAATAATTTGTCACTAAGTTCTAATTGAAGAAGATGTATTTATTAACCGAACCAAATCCGCTAACCCTTCTATAGGGGTAACAACAAACCGGGTGTAAAAGCTCAATGCCATGAAGATTGCCGCCTTCGAGGCTGATATAATGAAATGAAAATACGTCCGAACAATAATCGAATGATAAAACGTTCTTATTAAAAATCCGCAATTGTGAATAAAAGAAATGGATGCTCAGGTGTAAAACAAACTATTTATTTATTGCTTTCTCAAACAAGCATTTTTTATTTTAAAGACCTCTCCCTCCGTCCCAGATTAGCATAACGAAAACTGCAGTCCCGGTGATGACTTGAAAAAATATGATTAAGTGATTAATTATAGTTTTTATATAAAATGTTAACTAACCAGATTAATAACTGATACATATGTATAATATGTATAATATTTTATATCTAGATGTTTATCAATGCTCATATGCTAATTTCTCATTGCAGACTATGCGTCTCGCGGCGTGGCCAAGTTCGGCGATCGATGCCAGTCGACGCTCGAGTGCGGCTTCCCTGGCAGCGAGTGCGACCCCAACAAACGCAGCTGCCAGTGCGTGCCCTCGCTGCCGGTCACCAACCACATCGACAAGTGCGGCAGAGGTGAGACACATATAGTCCGAATTCTATACATTTTATTTGTAGTAGGAGCAACAACTGTCCCAATGTCAGATAGAAATGCGCCAACTGTACAAAGTAGAGGAGACTGGGTACGGTTGTGCCACTTTTTTGATCAGCAATAATTTTATTAATTTATTAGTTATCTGGGAGAATAATAAATTTAATGATAAATTGAGTATTTGTCTACAAACTTACTGAAATATTATCCTTCAAAATGCTGTATTAGTCATAAAATCAAAACAGACAAAATAGCCAAATGAAAATTCAACAGCTGTATACTGATGTACAGACTTATGACCCAGATTGTTTATAATAGTTAGTAACTTGTGAATTCATTGAAATTACGCACACGATGCACAAAACTAGTAGTTAAAAATTAATGAATATGGTAGTAGGCTTCAACAATTGTCAGCCATCATGTGGATGTCCTACCTTCCTCGATATCGCTTGTCCAAAGTCCTGTTGTCTTGGTGAATATTCTTGCCCTGGTCTTACCTACCTTTTACAATATTTACCAAATTCAAATCAATTACATCAAATATATCGGTTTTTAACTCTGTCTGCCCTTTCTTTTAACGCTGGCCCTTACATTTATTACATAGTAGGCAGAAAATGTTGATGTTCTAGGTTGTTCATCATTAGCTTGGATAGGGGTCGTGTAGCTGATTGTAAGTAGACCTCAATATCATTGGTGTTGTTGTTTTTTGACATCGAATTAAAATTTTAGAATGAATCGTGGACGCTTAGACATTTTCTTATAATTGTAAAAATATTGGCTCGGCCGTTCGTAGCACAAAAATTATGAAGTTTAGTTTTTCTCGAGTTACATCCAAAGGCCTTTAATTTATCGAAATCATTCCAGATGTATTTGAGAAAAAGTCGATGATAGGTTCAAAATTGACTCACACAAAGTATTTTCTAATGTAAGTAAATTCATGATTAAGGACCAATTGCATGATTCGATTTTGATCTGTTGTTTTATTTTAATAATTTTTGTTCTGTATCTCATTAAACAATAATTTTGTACATCTAAAAGAAAATTGCCATTAATACTTTTGGTAATGGCAGTTCATTTTCAAGATTAAAATTAATAATAAATATGTTATAGTTGCTTACAAATTGTAATTGTGCTTATGTTTTTATGCATCATTTTAATTTCAATCAATACTTATCACATAAGCAAGAGATTTATCTCAAATTTACAATACAATACAATTCTTTTATAATTAATTTTTTGAAAAAAATACATATCATAATATATCAATATTAATAATATTAAAATATGAAATCTAACACAAAAACAAATTTACAAATGTGTAACCAAATATGGAATAGGTACCCATAAATGGAATATAAGCATAAATCAACACAATAACAACATAACAATAACAAAAATGGACATTAATATCTTGGTCCATCAACTCAGAGTTTTCTTGTTCACTATCATCATTATTTTTCTTTATTTGTTTGTTTCTCTTCGCAGTTTTCATCTTATCCTTTGTCTTGACTAATTCACTTTCTTTTTTTTGTTTCTTCATATTTTTATTTTCTAAATCATTTTTGTAGTGAGAAGATGCTATGTTATGACTGCTTTTCTTTCTCTGCTAGATACTTTTCTTCGTATCTCTGGTATATATATTGCATATTTGGATATTTGTATAGTCCATATTTGGATTTTTATACTAGTTCAAACTTTTCTAAATATTTTTTCAAGTAACAATAGTTACTTAGTTTTTAGTTAGTTAGTTAGTTAGTTTTCAAAGTAACAAATAGTTAAGTAAACATAATACTGATATACTAAATAGTAAAACACTTATGTACATCAATATAACAGTGTAATTGGTAATACTAATTTATTTCTTACTCTTAAAACTTTCTTCACAACAACAAAACAGAACATCCCAGCTACACGTGAAGCGTTCGCGCAACTGACTCGATGGTGTGAGGGCGATAGTTAGTAGACCGAATGAGTATTGCGTTTATTACTTATAGTCTTAGTATTAGTGAAATGAAGATATTCCATATTACGATATACAATTCTTTTATAATTAATTTTTGAAAAAAAAATACATATCATAAAATATCAATAATTAAGTTAAAAATGTCAAATGCATTTGTATATCTTTTACACGAGGACATAATTTCAAATCATGTAAGGACAATAAAGATAACCGATTCTAATAAGATAACGGTTTGGTGTGTTGGAAAAGAAAAAATTGCAATTAAAAATAGTAGTTATGATATAGCTCATTTTGAAGTTGTTTAAGGTTTATTATATGTAAATAGTATATTTTTTAATGACAAAAAAATAACATGAGCATTTAGTATTTGTAGAAGTAGCTCAAATACCAATATAGCAATATCAATATTTATATTTTTACATATTTATTTTATATCAATTTGTTTTTAAATTATATTATTTGCGATATCAAAACATTTTACTAAAAGCCTTAAGCTATATTAAATGATTTTACCAAATAAAACAAAACTTTATATTATGAACTGATTCACACCAATACGAGTAATGATTCAAGGAATGAAAAGATTTTTAAAAATATGTAATTATAAATTTTCATTCGATACTTTAAGTGTGTTATTACAATTACTAATTAAAATATCAAACTGAATTTTTTTATGTTTAAGTATAAATTAAAATTCAAGAAGTCCGACTAAACGTTTGGCATTAAATTATTTAATTGTTTCGAGTAATTAATTTTAGGTATCGAAGAAATTGTGTAATTTGCCAAATGGAGAACTGATATGAACAAATCAAATAATTTTAATCATTTTTTTTAATGTAAAGAAGTTAATGTAAGGATTCAGCATACTATATTTTCAAACTTTATAATGATTTTTAATCATACATTGCGCCAAACAACTTGTAGCCGGAACATTGCGCCGATATTGTGGTGATATTGAATTATTTTTTGCATGCACTATATCTAATAATATGGTGTCGATCAAGCGTTGAAAACGATTAGTGAGCAAAAAATCTAGATAATAAATGAAAACTTTATAATTTCATATCTGCGACATATTATTTTTTGCCTGCACGCAATTCAAAGCTTAGTGAGTGCGCAGGAATAATAAAAAAATTACTCAATACTATTTTTTATTTTAATACATATATATGTATATATATATATATATTTATATATATATATATATATATATATATATTATATTTATAATTGTTAGCTACATGATTTTCAAATTTGTACTAATTTATTTCTCTTTACAATGATTTTGATAAATTGTGCATAAAACAGAAATAAATATGTTTTAGCCGATGATATACATTATGGTATAGTATAGGTGGATACTTTCATTTACATTTCAATCACTTTAACTGATTTATATCACATATATCCTTTTCTTATTAATAAATTATTAATGCATTTAATTAATTTTAAATTAATTTGCAGTTCTTATATATGCATAATATAAAAAAGTTTGCGCGGGATTGAAGTAAAACTTATTATTTTACAACATGGCATTTAAGTGAAAATAAATACATAATATAACAATTTTGAATAATGTTTATTAGTAATGTGGTAATATTCGTGATGCACACATTTATTAGTCTCAACGATTATACACATTTATATAACGATAAATTATATATTTATAATAGCATTAAAAATATGTATAATATTTATAAACAATAATGTAATTAAAGTCATACTTCAAATATGACTTTAGATACTCTAAATGACATACATGCGATATTATCAAAAAATTGGGAGTTACGCATTGTATGGGTAAGAAGTCATATTGGGATAGCTGGCAACGAAGCGGCGGATAACGGCGCCAAAGATGCAATAAATACAGGGACTGTTGCTGCGGATGGAATATCTTATAGAGACATAAAAAGATTTAACAGAGCAAACATACGGAACATTTGGCAATTGGATTTTCAGTTATCTATTAGAATTAAAGGTAAATTTTATGGTATGATACAAGGAAAAATTCCAGTCAAACCATGGTATGACGGATTTAAGGAGTGTCGGCCGTTTTACACAACATTGTGTAGATTAAGACTAAATCATTCTTACGCTCCGTTCTGCCTAAGCAGAATTGGGATCGATATCGATCCTAGTTGCTACTGCTTGGGCGAAGCGACTAGGGCGGATGCAGAGCACATCATCATGGAGTGTAAACGTTGGGAAAAGGGCAGACAAAAACTATGGGAGGAAATAATTAAACAAAAAATCTCCCTTCCAATTAATTTTATAACAGTGATGACAGATACAAGATTATATGGAGCTCTTTATATTTACATCAAATGTAATAATATAAAATTATAAATGCAATATACATAAAACAATGATATATATGTAAGAGATAGCGTAGATATTATGTAATTTAGTATATGGCTAATGTACCAGTTTATAAAGCCAATAAAATAATAAAAAAAAAAAAAAAATATGACATGATCGGTTTGTCATTGTGATTAGCATTTAGAAATGAACCTTCATTAAAAAAATGAAGTAATTTCTGATTAATAAATTCTATAATATTCGTTCACACAGTGTATTATGTTAAACAACGCCTAAACAAATATTGTTTTTGCAACTTCGCTCATCACGCAATTGTGTTTGAAGAACTTCATTTAATTAGAATTAACATACATCTATTAATTCTTGTATTTTTTTTTACTTTCTCGCTGGCGATATAATCTCATTCTTTGAACAGCTGTAATATCTGTCTTGCCTAAAAAATATTTTCCATTTTAATAACTTCAAATATTTATAGAAACTACAAATAATATAGGAATAATTTCCAATCAATGTTTAATTTGTTTTATTATTTTTAATGAACAGGGTAAAATATTCTTCTGATTCAGGAATTTTTCAATAAATCAAGATTTGTACTACGATGTAACTTTAAAATGTTTATTTATCTAATCCAATTTCCTTGTTGATATCGGTACGCATACAATGACAGATCTCTATTCACATACACGACGACTAATCACTATTGATCCGTATAGAAATGCTTTCATCGAGAGCGAATACAGTTCGAGCGTAACACATTTCCGTTGCATTTGTACGGATTTACACCCTAGTCGCACCTAAAGAAGTTTTACTTCAAAAATAAACGAATTGGTTAATTATGGTAAACAAATCAATAGCGTAAATACATGCATAATAAATCATAAAAAGATGTTAAATATTTAGTAGTTTTACATTAGATTAAAACTAATTTGCTTTATTTAGACTAACTCTTTATAACAAACAACTATTACAAGTATTGAATATAACATCCTTTTGTGTAATAAATTTCAGTTTAAACATTTTTATAATTTCACTGACTTAGTAAAAAAATTAAGGTATTATTGATTTCTTCTCACTTTTATTTTAGTTTCCAATGTGTATGGTTAAGAGTTTGGGAATATAATACCTTACAGATATCGCATTTCACAAAATAGTTCTGAGGATTGAGGATTAAATCGATTTTCAAACGTTATATGTTATTTAATTTCTACAAGCATCTTAAAGATTATAAGTTTTATAACCACCCGAGTTTCAGTTAAAGGGATAAAGACATTTTTTGTTACAGAAATTTCTTAATGCCATTTATGTGGCCAAACTTTATTCAAAAGTCAATTTAACTATCATAAAATGCCTTGAGATGTAGCTATTAAAACACTTTAGTATTAAGAGAACTGAGAAATTTATTAATAACTCCTTCATCTTTTAACGATTTTAAAGGTTAAAATAATGCAAAACACACGTTTTTAGACTTAGGAGCTTGATTTTTGATCTTCATATATAATTTTGTCTCATTATTATTATTTACATAGTTTAGTTTTCCGTATTATGAATACAATATAGTCTATATTAAGATTAATAAATTAAACGGTATTGATAATTTTTGTGTACAGTTTTCAATATTCATTTTTATCAAAAAATACAAAAAAAACTATTTAAAAACTATTTAAAAATTACTATACTTTTAGTGGATCAGATCAAAACTAAATTTTAGAAGTGTCTTGAACAAAGCAATATATTATATTAGCAAATACTGTTACTCTATTTTAATTTTTTTACCTACAAATCTGTTTATTTAGGTCAATTATTAACATTCTGAAAAAAATGCCTTCTTATGAGGTATTTGACATCCTCGGACCAATAAACTTCGTGGCTCATTACTTCTAATTTGCCCAAGTCAGTCAGTGTAGTGGACTTAGGGATCTTTGTAAACAAGATAGCCTCAGTCTTCTGTGGATCGATATTGATTTGCCACTTGTTTGTATAGTCTGTTAGTGTATCTATGTGTTTCTGTATTTTTGTGGTCATGCCATAAATGTAGACGTTAAACAGTGACGGCCCTATAATTGACCCTTGCGGTACTCCCGTCGTCACTTGTTTAACCGTCGAGGATGTGTTGTCTATTTGTACGGTGAAATTGCGGTCTGTGAATGAATGAAGTAAGTACTGTTACCGATATAGGGTGTAAAATTGATGGTTATGTAAATTTATATTGAATAATTTTCATATTTAAATCTTTAATAATTATTTTTCAGAGGCGTCGGTCAACGAGTCATGTTTTTTCAACGAGCAATGCGAGTTTTCGACGCCGCAAACGGAGTGTCGCGACGGTCGATGCGCCTGCAGGTTCGAGTTGACGCCCACGCCGAACAAGGACGGAATCTTTGAATGCATTAGTAAGTTGAAAAATAAGATATACCTATACTAGGGTAAGGCAGGGTTTTAAATTTTCGCGGGTAAAATGTTCCACCAGCGATATCTCAAAAACAAGCGCACTTAAGAGTTTTTTAGCAACAATATTTGTAATTAGAGGGAAAAAGATGTATAACTAGCCATCATTTTGATTCTTAAGAAGTGACTATCGGAAAATAAATTGCAATGTTTGACAATTCATAACAAAAGTATTTTCTTCCATTGCTAGTTTTTTTCGGTTGTGTGCATTAATTGTTTAGTTGGGTGTGGTGAAAAGGACCGACTGAACCTTACACCTTTACCCTGGCTAAGATGTAAACAATAAAAAATAGTAAATAAATAGTCATTTCAACTCTGTTGATGAATATTCCTGACCAAATACCAGATGAAGGTTATCTACAGTATTAATCTGTATAAATATGTAGACATGTTTTGCACTCGTTGAATAATGTAGCTATTATTTTGTGAAATTCTTTGAAAATTAAAAATAAAAATAGGACCTGTTTGTTTTCTGACCGTCCCATTTCACGCCGCTTGTGGGGCAAAAGGACCAGGTGATAATTTTTTTTTTAAAACACTAAAAATATAATTTTCGGACAGTGCATCAGCAAATAATAAAAGACACTCAAAAAAAAGACAATCAAAGGTTACTCACACAACTTGAAACCATGAACATTTTGGTTCGTTTTCCTGAGAAACCCAACATTTTCTCTTGAAAATAATGCATGTTAATATTTTGGAGTATTCTCATATATAGTAAATGTTAATGTTTTTTCTGCTATTAACATAATTAGAGAGTTGTAATCAAATAGCCCAAATTTATATTCATTTTAATTACCAGTTATTCTAAATGCATCAACAATACATAAAATTAGGTTATTTTCTAGAAAATATTGGTATACAATGTTCAAATTTAATTTAAACTGTATTAATATGTGGGTATAACAGCGGTTCATAATTGATAGAAACTAATAGTTTGTTACTAATATTCGACGACAAATTTTGACTATGCGAATTCATTTCTGACTTGTTGTTGTTGCCATGAGAAAATGATGTTGTTGTTTTTACCATGAGAAAATACATCAATATTGAATTGTTAAAAGAGTATATCATAAATATCACATAATAGTAATTTTATGATAGATGAAAATAATAATTTTTACAACCGTAAAATAAATTGGGCTGCTATTTTATAGGGTAGAGCGGTGTTTAAAGGTTTGCGAGTAAAAAGGTCACCACCATTATATCAAAAACAAGTGAAGTTTAAAACTTTTAACGATACTAGTTTAAAGTAAAGTAAAACAGATGTATAACAATTATCTTAATTTGCAGGATTTATATTTATAAATAAAGTTTTTTTTTTCGTTGTTAATCATTTTGGTTTTCTGCACTCTTTCTTTGTTTACAACACCTAAATATAATTTTTAAATGCATGTTATTTAATTGTTTTAGGAGACGTGTTGTTATATTTAAGTTAGAATAAACAGTTTTTTTTATTGAACTTTCATAAAAGCTCACATGTAGGTGGAGTAAAAAAAACTAACTAAATCTTTACAATGCGAAGGTATAAGCAATAAGAAAAGACTACATAAAAGAGTAAAAAAGGTTGAAAAGAGAAATTTAGCAAAAAATAAATTAAATTATTAGTTATTCTAACTCTGCTAATAAATATTTCTGACAATATACCAGATCAAAATTAAATATATTGTGATCTTTGTAAAAACTAAAGAAATTTGAATTTCACATACGAATGTGAATCATGTAGCTAAATTTCGTAAAATTCTTCTAAAAATAAAAATAAGACATTGGATCTGCTAGCCTCTGGTTGTCTCAGACAAATAAACAAATAACAAATTTTAGAAAAATAGTAAAAAATTATATTTCTAAAATTAGGAATTCACTGAATAAAGTTCGAAAGTTGGTTGTTTGACACGTGTTATGTGTTGTGATATTCCTCATTTAGTTTAGACAATATTATTGCTGAAAGTCAAATTGGACCATTTTTCCGCCCTACTCTGCTTTTAATTTTAGCTATATGTATATAAAAAGCATCATATTTTACTGAAATAGTTGTATATAAATTGACTATCTAAGTGCTCTCTTCTTAGTTCACATTAATTTTCTTTCAACTACCATTCATTAAATTTAATTATGACCTTTCAACTATTTTTAGCTGTAGTTTCTCTAAAACGTTAAACCATTAGAAAATACGATGTACCCCAACCGCCCACACAGTGAACTCACAGATTAACAGAGTCAAGACCGTTTTCAGCTTTTAATATTTACCTAAGTATTCATAATCTTTACAAAGTCCGTTATAACGAGCAGCAAAAAAACATTCGTTGCAAACTAAATGAATCCCTACAGTTTTTATCAAAGAAATGAGGTCGCGATAATTTTTTTGCTGCTTTGATCTTTCTTTGTATGTCGGTTGTTTGAGCGAAAAGGATATTATTTGTGTTTGTTTTTATCAATTTTGAATGTCGTAATGAATATTTTATGCCATATAAAAAGTATCTTGTAATGTTTAATCTTTAAAATATTAAATATGTTCTTATAATAATAATTTTAACTACAATCTCTTAAAAATGAAGAAACTTTCTGAAATTCTGAAATTATCACTCGATTTTGCAAAATATAATGAGTATAAAAGTAAATTTTGATTATAGAATTTTTAACGAAATTTCTAAGTAATAAAATATTATTAGTTTGTGCAATGCAAAAACGAGATAATTGAATATTAATCGTAGTAAAGACCAATGAAATGAATATTTTGAATTCATTTCAATACTTTCTTATTCAACTTCATCCATTATAACAATTTGCATATTTTTAATTTTCCTTAGGATAAGTTTACATTTTTGTTAGGCCATGATACTTACAATTTTATGCTTTTTGACGTTTTTAATAATTCTGAATCTTTAGAGAACAAAATAAGAAAAACTAATGCGCGTGAAAGACGATTTTAGACATTTCATCAACGTTTTCTTGAAAACGGTTGAACTCATTCCAAAATTTTAAAAGGCCACAATCAAACGATGCGGTTTTGAACAATCAAATGCTATTTAAAATTTATACTAGGACTCTTGTCTACAAGTTCTTGATATAATCTGTTGAACTTTTTTTGTTGTAATTAATCATTGATTTTTATAAACAATTTTGATTAAGCTTTCCAAGATGATAAGATTCATGGTCAATCAAATAAAATTTTGAATCTATTAACTTTCCGTGGGGAGAGATTATGTTTTCATCAAAAAATCCGATTCGCTAATTTTATGTTTTATCGACGTTTCAAGCCATTGTGAATCGAATATGACCAAATTTGGGAAAAGTATGTGTGTGTGTGCGTATGTGTGTAGGTGTGTGTGAAGCGATTTTTTGATCAGCCAAGCCGTTTTCTTGTAATAAAATGTTTTAAAAAATTGTCGACGATTTTTATTAATTTTTTTTGACAATAGATATCATCTTATAAAACATACTAAAATTTTACGGCCCAACTAATAGTTTAATATTAAAAATTCATCAAAGTTTGAAAAAATATTATAGTCAAAATTGCTTTTGTGTTGTAATGAGACAAACATTATCAATTCATTAAAATTTAAAATAATAAACTACAATTTTACTGAATACAAGCACGTGTCTGGGCAATATAATTGATATATTTATAGTCAATTTAAATTTGTTTGAGAAAATTCTATTGACAAATCTTACACATTTTGGGAAGTTTATGCAACTTGCCTTAAGGCTAAATGCCACTTACAACTAGTTTTAATATTTAAAATATTAATAACATACTTGTATCACATCTGTATAATTTTATATTTTAAAAAACTAAATTTTATTTTTATTATAATTAATAATTTTAAGTGATTTTTCTGAAGAAGAAATAGATCTTATATATCGAAATTAGATTAGAAATTTTTTATACCTGATAATTTATACCTAATTAAAATCTAAATTATTTTGTTGGCTCTCAAATTGTAATTATATGTAACATGATTATTTATCATTCAAATATATTCTACTCCCAGTATACAATGTCAATCGCTAATTCTACAAGATCGCTCCACCGTATTTTCTCGGTATTCAATTTGAAGAATTCTGCAGTTGCAGTTCATAAATAAAATATCTCTTTTTCATTTCTTCTACAAAATCTCTCTGAAAGGCGCGGAGAGAAATAATCCGCTTTCACTAATAACTATTTGAATATTACAGCATTTTCAAAATTGCCCTGAGCTTCCGAAGAGGATAAATGAATATTTCATAAAAGTACCTCATTGCCAGATCTATGAAACATTTTCCTTCTAGAAAATTGTTCAGTTTGAAAATGGGAAAAGGCATTTAAATGTAATCAATCATTCAAAGGGTTGTTTGTTATACATAACTGGAAAAAAACGATTTGAAATGGATTTGTCTGCGATATAACGATCGGCGTCATAGTTATTATTCATGGATTGAGAGATCGTTTGTGAACATATAAAATTGGAAAAATCTTTATAAATATATTGAGAGTGTAAATTATTGTTTGCACATATTTTTATACGTAAATAAACTGAATACAATTTAAAATAAACAATCCATTTATATAAATAAATTCATAATAATTAGTCGAATATATTATCAATAAATATTATTAAAATAAATAAAGATTAAATTGAATTATTCATTTAATTTTCAATTTATTTTGATTACACATTATTTGTGCTTGCTCAACTAACCTAATTATTATCACAATTTAGCATATCAATATTATAATTTCTAAATTATAATCTCATTCGTAATTACGTAACAAATAATTTGCGCATATATAAAACGCATTTAAATAAAATTTTATCGGCATTTTATTAGTCTATATTACAGTCTTTTTTATATTATCCGTTTTTCAAAAACTCCTTAATTTCGACTTTGATATATAATATTTGTACAAAATCGTCATTTAATCTTTTTCGGGTAATATTTTTTTATATATATAAGTAAAAAAAAGCAAATTAATTTTTCATCTTCATCTTTTCCATAGCTTTGATAATATTACTTAAAATGAATAAGATAGATTTATTGATTTTTTTGCAGCTCTCTTACATTAAATCAGATGTTCGTTTGCTTTTCGAAAAACTTGGAAATAAATATGTAATTCACTTATAGTTATTAACAAATTAGCATGTTAATCATACATATTTCAAGCTAATATTATTTATTGGTTATTCGTATAAATTTTTTTAATAATGCAATTTTTATTAAAGACCTTTTAAATTGAGATGATCTACAAACTACATTTTAGATAAACATAGTTAATATAATTTACAATGTACTGCATGCGATCTTATTACACATATTATTTTTCTGAGTATGACATAAATGCTTTTTCGTCGCGATGCATTTAAAATATCTATTTTAATATATTTTTTTCATATTTATTTTTTTATCAAGTAGATATATTGTATCAATAAAACCCCAAAGATAACTTTGAATATTTAATAAAGTTGCGAGAAGTTAATAATGCCTTTAATAAATCTTTGCTCCAAAGTTAGCTTTTCGGTGTTTTTTTTCATAAAATAGTAGTGTTTTATATAAAAAAAATGTACTATGCGAGATCTAAGTATTTTAATATTTTTAGAAAAAGAATTATATATATATAGCTAAAAGGCTTTCTAACAGACACCCATTCACGCATTAAAAAGATACATTACTTTTTCTAAAAAAACTTTTGTGAACGTTTCGGATCTATATTTTTATATCTAAGATGAACTCTTTCTCAGAGGATAAAATTATAAAATATAATATAATATACCTGTTTGAATTTTTTTGTATGTGCTTATGGATTTAACCTTCCGAGCATTTTATACAAAAAACTGAACTGATCAAAGAAGTTGAAAATTCACTCAACAAATATTATTATATAATTCAATTACGTTTGATATCAAGATTAGTTAATTCTATTCCTAGTAAATACCATGCAAATATATCTAAATATTTTTCAAAAAATGTTGAAATTAATTTTAATAACCTGAAAATCACTTTGTACAAATCACAATGAATCAATACAAATGGCGAATTAAGTTGTGAAAAATGATAAATATTCCAATATTTTCTTTAGGATCTAGATACGTGGATTTACTTTCTCATATTTATTAATAAATTTAGAATTTGAATACTGTAATAAGAAAAAACTATTAGAAGATTAAACCAAATTATGAAATCAACATAATTTAAATAATTAGAATTACATACATAAAATGAAATCAGAAACATTTTTTGTCAAGTTGCTTCACGTCGTCGAACGTTTGAAGATTTGTATATAGAGATAATACAGCAAATTTTTCATATAAAAATATTTTTTTCTGGTATATATTATACGGTCGTCAAAATCTATTTCATTTAATTCGCCGTTTTGCAAAACCACTGACACATGTCAGCCTCTTTCAGCTTTTTGTTTATATCCCAAACGTGACAAGAAAACTTCTCTATTATGAGGGTATGTGGAATGCATACATACTAAACGAAAATAATATACTTCTTATTTTAGTGTATGAAATTCAGACAATTTTGATATTTATTTAGGTGCATTTTAAGCTTTTTTTGTTCGCTTTTTGTATATTCATGCAACTTGTCCAACAATTTATTCAGAGTCGATTTACAAAATCAATCAAGCTATTTTTTATAGCTACGTTTCTGATCATTGTGCATACTTTTGTAAAAATAAAAATTTCTATTATACATACTGCGGTATATATTCTTTGTGTATATGATGAGATCCACAATATTCTCTATTCGTATGATTCCAAATGATTCGGTTTCGTTTTTTTCTGAGAGAAAGGTTCAACCGTTATGGATGTACAAAAGAACAAGTAAATAAAATGAGTATTTAGTGATGTACATAGGCACTGTACGCTATTCGAATTTTCAAAATATGATAATTGTATTATCGACTTGCGAAAATTTTGTGTTTGTTGCCATTGTGTGAAGATTTCTAAAGTTTGTTTTTAAAAATTTAAAGTTCAAATTCAAAATTTGCATTTAAAACTACTTGTATGTTGCATTTTGCTTTAAGACTTGCGGAAAAACAAGTCTCATTTTATCAAAATCGTAAAAAAAATTTATTCACATATATTCACATATGGCACATTCTCTAAGCAATGCCTTTGAACGGTTTTTAAATTTCAAAGTTGGTCCGGGAATTTTGGCGAAATTTTGGTTTACAGTCTTTTCTAAGAAAACGCCGATGATAGGTCAAAGTTTGGTTTACTTATACACACATACATACATACGTACAATTTTGGATGCAGAATCACATAAAAATTCAAGAAAACTTAAAATTTTGATTATATATTATATATTATATACGTACATTATTATTACATATTATTTAGTTCCTCAGGAAAATCTTTCCATAAATGTTAATTAAAATATATTGACTGTACGCTACTACAGAAAAATAGAAATATTTGTGATTTTCATTTTTTTATTTATTATATATAATTGTATTTTTATACATATGGAGCAAAAGCCATACTTTTATGCATATGGAACATTGCAGAAAATCATAACAAAGAATTTCCAAAGTAGATCAGATATTTTTTGTTGGCAATGGCTAGTGGTATAAGTTTATAATTAAGACTAACAGTGTATGGCATCGTGCCTTAAGGCAAATTGCTGGAACTTTCCGTACCAGAATTAAATATTCGAGCCAAAAATAATAATTATCAATAAATCTTGATTGAAATTATATATAGTAATATGTAATATATATATTCGTTCATATAATATTACCAAAAATTTTATCTATTTTTCATTTCATCAATACAAGTAATAATACAAATGTTTTTGAATCATTAAAATGGGGTACTCCATTCTCTCAACAACTGAATTACCGTTTTTGGCATTTTTTGCTCCGTATCTTTGAAACGGCTGGACCTGTCTTTATCAACATCTAATCAGCACGTCTTCTCACCAATAAGAATCGAATCTGTTTTGAATCATTCAAATCGGTTGATTTGTGCGCCCGAAGTCTTGGACGAAAAATTGTATCCAAACACACATACACACACATACATCAATTTTTTCTAAGGTATGCCGAAATGCTCAGAAACCTTTGAAACGTAAAGATAAGCAAAAATTTTCATTTTCGATTTTCTTGCGATTACTATAACTTACCCTACGGGAAGTTAATAATTGCTATGTCATATTTTCATAGAATTTTTTACATTTTATTATCTCTTTCTTGTGTATTTTATCTTATTTTTCCGTAATTTTCAGTGAAACCAGAAATTCCTAAGTCTGAGCGGTACGTCGATCCTGCAATGATCGGTGTTCTGGTTGGCATGGCCTTAATGTTCATCATTATTTGTGTCGTCTTGAGGTTATTCAGCAAGTAAGTTTTGAGCATACTATTTTGTAAATTATCATATATTTTATGTAAGATATAATTTAAAATAACCGTGTTATGTCATTATTTGTTCTTCACAATATATAGTCTACTCACAGACATCATTATTTTGTTATTCTATCCTCATTCTACTCAAAAATTGTCAGTAATATGAAATAAGATCCTCTAATGCATGATGATTCAGTGAAAAACCATTGACTAACCATTGGCCATTTTTTTAAAAATTGAATTGAGTGAAAAATGTAGATGTTTTGACATGTTTGAAATGAGTTGACTATAGTCTTTGATTTTTTAACAAGATTGAGTTGAGTGAAAAATTTAGATGAAATATGAGATAAACCCCTTCATCATAAAACGGCTTGATTACCTTCAAGGCACGATGCCATGCACCACTAGTTTTAATTAATTTAATTTTATTCCAATTTCAGTGCCCGTTGGCGTGAAAATCGAACGATTTTCAACACCCCGAATCCGCGCTTGATGAACGTGTCCCTGTTGCGAGAGAGCAAGCACGAACGAAGGGGCTCTAGGGGGTCCGTTAGGGCTCCCTCCAGGAGGCCCAGCATGGCGTCGCTCAGGCCACAAAGTCCGCAATCAGGTCAGTGGATTTATATTTGATTAATGATTATTATGTAATTTTTAACAATTTTAGTTGAAATTATATCTAGATATAATTGATAATAGATATCGTAATTTATATTTTTATTTTTAGTTACAGTTTATTAATGTAATATTTATCAAATTGATAGCAGCATAGTTATGGTATCTTAGTATATTAAATATTTTCAGCAGTATCATTTATTATATTGAATATTTATAACGTTTCTATATTATGCAGGGTGTCCCAGAACTTAACATCAAGCCGAAAAAAGAGTGGTAGTGTTGACCTCAACTGTTCTAGAAAATAAAAAAAAAATTATCTCACGTTGTTTGCATATTATGAGCTTCTAAGTGCAACCTAGAACTTTGATGTAGTAATGACATTTTTTCGGTTTTTTGGTAAATTTTTATTACTTTTGTACATTTTAACTTTGGAAATGTAACCGTGAATATCTTTTCTAGGACCACAGTAAATAATAATATTACAGTTGCACCAAGTTTTTGATAATTAAGACTTTTTGTTGAACTTTGAATTCAAAATTTTTAAAATTAGTCAACTTTGAAAGGTCCTTCTTTAAAAAAGTAATAGTGTGTACTAATGTGTGTTCAAATCAAAATTTGGCGCATTTATTGAGATTTTAAAATGGTAAAGCACTTGATAATTCTATAATTTCGAGTAAAAGAAACCTAAAAATATGTTTTTTGCTAGTACATTTTACTCATAATCAAATATTAGAGAAGCATTACAAGTGAATGTGGGCGAAATGCGTTAGCCGTTATTGTGTTATTTTTAGGTAAGTATTTTTACTCGATTTTTTTATTATAAAACTATCAAGTATTTTACAATTTCACAATCCTTATTAAATGCGCCAACTTTTGATGAATTTTGCCAACAAACTTTAGTACATTTTTTTAAAGAAATGCCTCTAGATTGAACTTGAAAGCTCATAATTTTCGAACAACATGAAATATTTTTCTCCTAATATTTTTGAGGATAAGTAAGGTTAATGCTATCACTTTCTTTCGGATTGACGTTAAGTTCTGGGACACCATGTATATCGAGATATAGTTTATATTTATATAACATATACATTAATAATTTATGGAACAAAACTTTGAGCGACTGCATTTTTGATAAACATCTCTCGTTTATATTTCGGAAAATTTTGTTAATTACTTTATTTAAAAACTTTATTACATTTGGTATTTTTTTGTTCTATCGGATTTAGTTGCTTCAATGAAAAATTCACCTTAAAAACAAATATTTTATATCTTTTTATAAAATTGAAATTTTTATTGCAATAATATTTAATAAATAAAACAAATTATACTAATGAAAATAAATGTGTTTTAAATTTGTACAACTTTGTAAACATCGATTTGTAGTATCTACTATTTATTTTAAAAAAAATATAGTGCTTTTGGATTATTCAGTTATCATAAAAGACTTTTGTTTCAAATATTTTGTAATTAACAAAATTTTCTTAAATATATACACAATACCACATGTTTGTATACGATATTATATATGTATATATATATATATATATATATATATATATATTGTGCGTGTGTGTGTGTGTAAATATTACTTAAAAGTTAGTGTCAAAAATGCTGAAATTAGTTAAAATAGATAGCATGTGAAAGATAACTGCACATCAGCCTAAAAAGACTTTAGACAAATTGGCTAATCTATTGTATTGAAGACTTGAATATCTATCTGCTATCTATCTTCTGTCTATTCTATTTTCACTAAATATGAGTGAGTTTTAATTTTTTTTACTGAAGCAAAGATGCATATAAAATACATTCTGCTATTAAATTCTGATTTATCAACCTTGATTGAAAAGCACAGGCAGTTTCTAATCTATTTAATCATTGCAATTATTATAAGCAAGTATTTAATCTAAATTCAGTTTGATTAAACAAAGATCTACTTGTTATAAAATGTAAGAGAGGCATATTATAAAGTTGTACCGAAAATTGATCTATGTAATTAATTTTCCAGAACTGTAATTTTTTTTTTTAAATATTTATGAAAGGTAAAAATTAATGAAAAATGGAATTTTCAATGTGTTTATTTTTTTGTTACAAGCATTACAATAGTGAAAACATATTTAGCTAAATTTTATATTATCAAAGTTTGACAAAAAAAATTACATAAAATCTCCGGAGAATTATATATAGTTTTTATAACTATAAATTAATTTTTAAAATTTCGCAGCTATGACTAAAACAAGACTTTCTAAATATTCAAGCCAATGAAATATGAGTTGCATAGGAAAATCTATTTTCCTATTTTTAATTTATATATTAAGCATTTTTGCATCAGTAAATAAGCACTCTAAGCATGATTGAAGTGTAAAAGTCTATTCTATAAGTATTATTATTTGTAATTTTTATTATATTCTTACGAAGGTAAAAGTTTATACTATATACTTTTCATGTATAAACTAATTGAGTTGGTATAAAAAAATATTTTCTACGTTTACGAAAAACAGTATAGTACCTATACTTATAACATTTGTTAATAACGTTTTTTTACATATTCTCGAATATTATATTGACAAATAATAGCAATTTTAATAATTAATTTGTAAAAATTGTGAAATGCATATTATTTCCTAATATTTTTTGGTTCAATTTGCAAAATTTTTAACAAAGTCAATATCTTGACACAACATATATTTTATATGTATAAGACAATATATAAATTGCGAATTATATTCTCGGTTTATATTTGTAAATTTTGATCAATATTTTAGGTAATTCATTTAATTTTTTTTGTTTCAAAATAACTGTACTGATATCAATATGATCGGTTGACTTTTTTAGGAAGCATACATAAAAGCTTTGCAAAAAGCACTTTTTAACTTTACAAATATTGACGTGATGGTGATATTACTGATAATAACTTCGAAATATATAGTTTTTTTCTTGATTTCCAATCTGTGGCTGAAAATAAATAAATAAATGTTCATTTTCCATGTAAATTTTTGCATTATTATATAACAAGGTAAATAAATTATTTTTCAGTTGAGTATTTTTAAGTTTGACTATTATAAAAATTAAAAAATGCAATTTTTTTTAAAAAAATAGGGGATGCCCAGGTACAAAAAGGTTGGAAATACTAGCATTGAATACCACTATTTAAATATTCAAAAGTCACTATTTAAATAAGCGACATGTTGTTTAGAACCGGAAAATACTTGAATCTGAAATGTCAGTTACACGTTAAATACTCCAAAAATGCAGTATTGCTTAGCACTAGATTTACGGATGTTGGTTACATACCTATTTTTACTGATGAGCCAATTTGGCTTATGCAAGAAAAATAAAAGTTTTTGAAAAAAAAATACTTTTAATTTAAATATAATGTTTATAATCAAAAACATTTTTTCCATTTGATCAAGTATTGATCTATTGCTTATGGAACAAATTTTTTATTGTTTTCTAATTTTAATTTTAATTTTTATGTTTCGTAATTTGTAGTAAATTTTTTTTCTGAGGATGTATTTTATAAATGGTCAGGATACAATTCTAAGATCTTTTTTGGCTGTCGCGATTTGGACTATAGTGTCAACCAAAGTAGTTTATTTTAAGTAACGTTTTTACAAATGAAATAATGGTCGTAGAAAATCATTATTTAAAAACAAACTCTTTTAAACTGTATAAAAACTGTATTAAATTAGGATCATTTATAAAAGTCGACGTGTCATGATATTCCATTACTTTTACGTTTCCTGATCAAGGCTGACTCGAAGTGAATATGTAAGTTATATTTTGATTACAGTCTAAATATGGCTTTTCAGGCTTAGCTACTTAAGACATTTTACTCAAGGAAATGTTTGGCTCTCGGATTTTAGCCTTGCTCAAGTACGGACAACCGTTTACAAGATGTTTGCTTCTTAAATGGAATTCCAGACAAAAATTTAATGAAAAATTTATTCGGCTTTTTCGACTTGTACTGCGTCGTATATATATATCTAGCGTTAATAGGTAATAATTATTCATTGATCGCTATGTTTGCGTCAGGTTTATGACTATTTTTTTGATTTGATTGACTTTATAAAATTTTCTATATTTTTGAAATCAAGGCAAACCCCGTATTTGATATAATTTCTCATTTCAATCAATAACTTTCACAAATAGATTACAAAATTACCTTTGTGAATCAGTTTTTCCAAAACTGTTGAACAATTATGCGAGTCAAATTGGCTCATGTGAAAAGTGAAAACAGGTGTACCACATTCTAGGGGTCTGTTTGAAAGAATGTTTACATATTTCATTGTATAATTAATAACCAATGTATGTTTGTAAAAAGTAATATTACAGTTTTATAGTAAGTGATGAAATATTTATTGAGTCAAATTTGCTCGGTCCGTTAATCTAGTGTTAAACTCACTACCAGCCCAAATAATAATTCGTGTTTTATGATGCAATGCTTTTATGTATGTCAACCCTCAGCCCGAAGGTTATCGTTTTATTTAGAACAAGTAATAGATCAGGTGAATAAGAATTATTACCATCATCGTGATATGAAAATATGAATATAGGTTCTCGATGCGGGAGCAGCAACTCATCCGTACGAGACGGACCCAGTCCGCCCGGGAGTCCGAGCCTATACGTCCGACACAAACGTCGACACACGCCACCGATACTTTCGACGGTCGTCAAACGGTCCGACGACGTCACCGTCGACGTACAGCACGTCGACGTTTAGACGACGAACGTCGCAGTGACTGTCGACGTTCGGACGATGTCACTGTCGACGTTTAGACGACGTCACTGTCGACGTTTAGACGACGAAAACTCGACGAACACCACGACGATTGTCGACGGTCTGACGAAATCACTATTAGACTAATCATACGTTCACGTTTAATTCACAGTACAGTACAGACATACGTGACTAATCATATACATACACAATACTCAAACTTTTTTTCTTTCAAAAATATAAGGGCGAAAGAGAGAAATAGAAATATTAAAGAGAAA